TATTTTACAATAAAATAATTTACAAAAAATTATTTCATTAAACATTGTGGTTATTATAATAAATTTAACTTGAATCCCTAATTTTTAACTTCATACTTGCCGCTTTAAAAAGTACTTATAATATAATTTCTATCTTTGAATTTTACCAGCAAAATAATTGTGCATGCAATTGTGCTAAATCTGTAAAACTGAGTCAAATTTTTTGAGTCACTCACAAGTAACACTACCCAACAGTTAATCACCGATTTCGATGAAACTTGGCACACTTCTAAAACATGGAAAAATATTGAACACGTATTTTTTTATATCGGCCCGTTTTGAGTTTCAAGGGTAGAAAACACCCTTTTTCAATTTAAGGGATGAAAAGCAGTATTCCATACGGAATTTACTAGATTTGCTTAAAACATATTACTCGGGGGTTTTCGAGGTCGCTAATTACGAATCCGAAGTCAGATTTTAAAAATTCAAAATGGCGGGTAGTGTTACTTGTCAGTAATTAAAAATTTTTGTTAAGTGAATGTAGCTTCAAATCGCTACGTAGCAAGTATGAAGTTAAAAATTATGGATTCAGGTTAAATTTATTCGAATAATAATAATGTTTAATCAAATGATTTTTTGAAAATTATTTTATTGTAAAATAACAGTTGGCCAACATGAAGTTAGAGAATTGTTTCCACCTTCGTGTCGTATTGGTTTGCTATACGTGTCAGTTCTATGCTGTGAGCAACCCTGTTCATCAACGTTTTTTCAGTGTACATTACTGGTACATTAGAGAACGTCATAAAAACTTATTGCGCAGTCCTATATAGCATAGAAAACTTTTGCGCATAAGTTTTAACTTTAACTTTGCGACGCAAACTTCCTATAAGTTTGCATCGCAAAATTGCCACTTAAAGACATTTTACTATTTGTCACAAAGTTGATGCAAACTTGAAAAATGTTGTGCTATCTATGGCTGTTTTATTAACAGAGCAGAAGAATATTTAAAGAAATAGAAATGTTCATTATTCTTTTCAATAACTTTTAGCTTATTTGTTTAGATGAAATTCTTACGATACTGCACTTTAAAACTTGATGTAAAAAGTCGGGTAAAACATCCAAATAATTTTGAAGTTTCATGATTTTCTCTGGTTACTCTAAGATTTACTAATTCTTGCCAAAAGTAGATTATTGTACCGAAATTGTTATTCTTTATTACATAAAATTGCGAGTAATAATAGACCAGTTGTTTCTTCTTCATAAATTGTCTGAAAGTATATATGACTTTCATAAAACTAAGTTCAACAAATATAGTTTCACGGATAGAGATCTTTGGTGACAAATTCAGAACTGGATGTAGCTGCTTCGGTGACAAATTAGGAACTGATTTTCCTAGCGTTTGTGACCCTTTTCATACAGGATTTTCACAAAGGGAAAAAAAATTCTTAGTTACATGGGTTGCATCTTTTCCAACCTCTCAAAAAATACTGACACCTGAACTCGTAAATTAGGTTGACTGCCCTTTCGAGATGACCAAATATCGTGGTGATATGAAAGGATCAAAGGCGCGATTCTCTTAAAAGAACATAATTTATGTGGTCATTTATATTATCGTGAATGTATTATTATTGATTAAACAGTAAACTCTTACAGTAAAGCAACCCAGATAGCACCGAATTTTGCAGGAAGTTAACAGGAAGTTAACGACCATAAGTTCGGAAGTGAATACTGTTAACTTCCCGCTAATTTCCCAGAATTTTTCAAATGTTCTCAGAGTTTAAGTTCACACTGTTAACTTGCTGATAGTCGTTGAATCACCCCAGATAGCACATAAGCGATTGCCGCGCAATATTGCCAACCTTGAACGGCACACTTGTCGAAAGCTTCAAATGTCCCACCTGACCCAAGCTTGCATGGTAAGCTTAACGAAAGATTGCAGTGTAAGGCAAGATTGCACAATAAGATTATGACAAGATTGCCAAATAACCTTACTTTGAAACTAAATAAAGTAAAATAAAATAAAATTTATATAATAAAAATATATAAATTAGACGAAAAATTAAAAAAAAAATTTTAGGTTATTCGGCAACCGTGCACCAACCTTGTTACAAGCTTACTGAGCAATCTTGCGATAATCGTATTGTGCAATCTTGCAGTAATCTGAATTATATAATTGTAAGGTGCCAAATGGCATTTACAGATTCGATAAATCATAACATTGTTATTCGGAAAGCCAACTATAGACGTATTCTGAGAAACTTTAACTCTTAGAAAGTCTTCATACTTTACACTCAGAAGCACACGGAAAAAAAAAGTTTCTTAGGAATTCCCGAAATCGTACTGAAAACGAGGGTTTGTGCAAAGAACCTTAATTATTACCGGCCTTATATTCGGAAAAAAGACGGAACTTTTGAAGTATAGATATTCCTGAATTATATGTAAAAATTCCGGAACTATGGAATACTATACTATGGTCAAGTAGAAGTAGATATTACTGAATTGTAGGTAGTAGTTACGGTCGAGTTCCGGAAAAATTCTGACGGCGAGACGAAAGATAAAAAGGAGGCGTATACGAGAAGTCGAGATGATACATGGAGACACTTTCCTACCTACATATATTCTTACGCAAACTTAAATCTATAACCTAACATAGTTTCGCTACATACACATCCGAGCAGAAAATTTGACCGGACCCTGGTCGGGCCCAGACTAGGCACGATCCGCGTAAAAATGAAAGTATGAGAAGAGTATGGTAGGCGAAAATTATCTATTTTTTCAAAAATTAAATTTTTGTCGAATTTTTAAAAATTTCAAATTTTTGTCAAAGTCTTTCTATAAAAGAAGAAATTATTTTTTTAAAAAAATTAGTTTTTTTCATCAAATTTCTCAAATTTCAAAGTTTTGAAAAAGTATGGGAGGAGTATCCCTACTAAAAATCCCTGTACAAGATCTTGTACAATTTCCTGTACAGGATCAGCAACTGAACTTGTACAAGTTCTGACCAGTTCCTGTACAGGAAAATGCATACGAATTAGGAACAAGTTCATGTGTGAGATCTTGTACAAGATCTGATGTAAGATCTTGTAAAAGAAAGATACTTGTACAAGAAAATGTACATACATGATCTTGTACAATTTCATGTATAAGTAAAAATTAAAAACTTCAAAGGCTGCGCAATAGTTTACTTTAACCTTTACAGCTGCGCAATAGTTTTTAGCATGCATGAGTTACGAATCTTAGTGGTTAAAAATTATCAAAATCTCAAATTTTATTAAAAAAAAATTTTACAACTACAGTCGAATCTCCCATAAGTTAATTTTCCCCTATCACGTACCCCCTCTACCTAAAAAAAACTTTAGTCATTACACATGCGCATAGTGGTGCCAAGATGGCTGACACATAAATAAACATAACCTCGTCTACAAACGTGTTCTATGAGACTATTTTAAATGTACACAAATATGTTGAATTTGACAAACTGTCAAAAAAGATTTTTAATTTAAAAAAAATACTAATTCAGAAAATCTCAATATTCTATTTTATTTTTCAATAGGAAGTTAAAATATATATTTTCGTTATTTAAATTTAAAAATACAGTTTATTTGAATTATAATTATAATAATTATGGTCACTGAGCAACTATTTCTCCTTACGCGGCAATTCTCTCATAAGTTAACCCCCCACCACAATTAACTTATGGGAGATTCGACTGTATACATGTGCAAGAACATGAACGTGTTCATGTAAAAGTACTTATAAATGAAATTGTTAAAGATCATGTACATTTTCTTGTACAAGTATCTTTCTTGTACAACCCTAGTAGAAATTTGTCATGGAAGCACTAGAAATACTCTAGTAACTGGCTAGTTTTTCTCGTGGACGCTGATTCTAGACAAACTAGACAATTACTGTAAAGTTACTTGACCAACAGTCTTAGAAAACATTCAAGTTGAACTTGAAATTGGCTAGATTCAACGTTTGTCCAGTTGCTTGAATGGCACTGTCTAGTGTCTCTAGAAAATATACTTTCGTCTTCTTTCGTGGCAGCAGCGCTGCAGCACATGTCTAATAACTAGACAAAAAAGTGCTAGAAATCTGTGTTCATGTAACTATTATATTATTTCATTATTTAATAAATAAATAATATCATTATTTAATAATAAAATTGTAATTAATTCAGGTAAATATAAATTAACATAATTTATTATTTTAATATGATAAATAAATAAAATCTATATTCACATGTTTTCTGAATATATTAGTATGTTTTTCTTTTTTATAAATTAAATTATTCTATTATCTATTATTGGCATTTTATTTATTGTTCCATTTATATATCATATATTTTTTTATTAAGAAAGTTTATGCTCAATTGATATTGAAAAAAATGTGTAATTTAGAAAACCTAACATAGTATAAATTCTATCCTTTGATATTAAAAAACAATAAAAATTACTGTTTTCGTTGAGTTTTTCACTTAGAAAACAATAAATAATAATTTTAATAGTAATTATTTTTAAAAAATGTCAAAATGCAAATATTAAAATATGCCTTGTTACATAGATAGGTTATATTTTATTTCTCTTTTTATTTTTTTTATTAAAATGTTTTTATGCCTTAAATTTTTAAAATCTTTTTAAATAAAATATATAATTTTAATAATAGGTGGATTAATAGCTAAATTAAAAAAATTTTTAAATTATAAAATATTAAAATTAAGTTGTAAAAAATTTAATTTAAATTTTTAGAAAATTTAAAATATCTATTGTTTAATACAATAATGGTTTAATGAAATTTGTGCTGATTAAAATTGTTATTTCAAGTGTAAATTTATTTTTCAGTAAATTATAAAAAATTAAAATTCTAAAATATGTATTTTGGCAGATAATAGTAATAATATTTATATAAAGCATGCAATTTCTAGCTACAGCACTGAACTAAAATATATCTGCTATATTTTTCGTTTGATGGATATCGTTAGTATAGCAGATTACGTAGCGTGCGTATACAGGGATTTTCAGTATGGATGAGATGCGAAAATAATCATTTTTCTTCAAAAATTCGCTTTTTTTGTCAAATTTTTAAAAATTTAAACTTTTTGGCAAAGTCCTTTCAAAAAAAGAAAAAATTTTTGTTTTAAACTTAGTTTTTTTCATCACATTGCTCAAACCTCAAAGTTTTAAAAAAGTATGGGGATAGTCATCATTTGCTTCAACTGAAACAACTAAGAAATCAAAAAATAATAATAGTATAGCAACATGGGTTCTAGCGCAGTTACCGAACGAGGTCGGTAAGGGAAGAATCTGTTTACTGACATTTTTTACCTTCGTTGCAATGTGGTTTAGTTCTAATTTTCGCCACTAGATGGTGCCACTTTATTTTGGCGGCTAATTTAAACTGGCTTGCAGTTTGGTAACTCACCCATTTTTACCTGCCTTGCAATACTGTGTTCTTCTTTACCGTCCGTCTTAATTCTCATTGTCACCGCTAGATGGCGCTACTTTATTTTGTAAAATAATTTTAAATGTCTTGGGAGTTGTTATTTTTTTAATTTCGCGCTAAAATTACCGACCAAATTATTATTGGCTGCCGTCAATAGATGGCGCCACTAAAAATTATAAACTTAAAAAGCTCAATTAGAAATAGGGCATTTTAAATTTTAGCGCCAATGATGGCGCTTTTATTTGAATTTGCTTAGAAGTGGTTGCACCCTGATCGTTCCACACTTTATTTGATTCGGTCAGTTCATGGAATCCCCAGGCTTTACGCGCCTGCCAGCAGAGCCACAGGGATGGGTGTGTTCAGTTGCGCGCGACTGTGAAATAGTGGGGAGCGGTTGAGGTGAGGTGCGCCATAGTGGGGAACATGGTATAAGGCGGGCAGCGCAAGCCACCAACAGCATTATCTTGTGTTCACAAGTAAGGCATAGATGGTCTAGAGAGAAGAGTATCAGTTCAAGAAAAATTTTCCACAGTTTTTAATACTTTTATAAGAAAAAACTTATTCTTTTATTTCAGATTTTCTTTTGTTTCAGGTTTGCTTTTTTGTTTTAGGTGTAAATGTATATATTATATCTTTTTTTTCTTAGTTTTAGTGTTTTTGTTAAACGTTTTAAGGTATAGAATTAAGTTTCTTTGTTTGTAAAAATGCCAAAGGTTAATTATAAAAAAAACCCGCGGAAACGAATTGAGGTAAATGAATTCAATGAAGTTTGCCAAGAATGTGACAATTTTATCAAAATCGCGGAGAATTAACTCATCTCCACTATGGAAAAGACTAGAGATGATAGATTCGTTAACGCATTTGAATGGCAAAACAAGTGCCAACGTTATAAAAGTTTAATAAGAACATTTTCGCGAAAATTTGATATTTTCCCACCTGAAAAATCGAGATATCTAAAATTTTGCTGGTGAGGATTGTGGTGCATCGGGTGATGTTTCTGCTTAAAATTGTTCAAATTGCTCCAGAAGAAAGTCAACATCTGGCACACACTCTAAAAGGGTTGCCATCTGTAACAAAAAAATGAAATTATAATTATTTTCACTTAATTGTATTTCAAAAAACAAAATTAACCACCTCATCATCAAAATGGATTTGAAGAAAATCATCATCATCATTCACACTGATTTCGTCATCCTCACTGATTCCATCGTAATCGAAGAAGAAATCTTTGTTCATTGGTATCGCGACAGTTACTTCATGATAAAAAAATTTCATTGAATCCTTCATTCTCATCACTATCCAATATTATAGAAGAGCCCCGGCTGTCAAATATTATTATTTCTTGCTCATCAGAATTCTTCTCTTAGAAATTGTCCATTTTTTTTTATTCTGAAAATTCAATTCGATAGTTTAATAAGCCTGTTTTATAAAAAAAAACTTCTAACAAGATACATAAAAAAAGATATTTATTTATTTATAGCTTTTTGCACATAGAAATTTCTTTGACAATAAACTGTCTGTTTGATATATTTAGTTAATGGTGGCCATTTGTATTCACAGTCAGAGTGTGCAAGTTTGATATATTTCAGGTAGGCCAAGGTTTCTCGAATAAAGGTGCTTCCAGCAGCTACCTACCTTCTGATTGGCTGTTCTTATTTTCTCTATAAGAAACAGCCAATCAGTTCGTTTGTAATTAAAATCGTTGCAAACATTTGTTTGTCTTTCAGTATGATTATTATATTAAAGAATATTGCTGTTTAATATAATAATAATACAAATTAACGCCTCTTGGTGATAAAATGCTAACTCTAAAATCAGATTGAAAATTAAATTTTCATAAAATAATATGAAAATGCATTAATAATATTATTGCATTAAATTTTAATGATTATAATATTATCATTGAAATAACATTTTATTTTATGAAAATTTAATTTTTAATTTGAAATCACCTTATATTATATGACAAATGGATTAAGTATTAAAATGGTAATTATTTTAAAAAATATTTATATAATTATAAAAATTCTTAAGCAGTGTTAACAACCTGAAATTCTTAAATATTTTCAACATATCCTTTTTCCACAAATCCAGAGATAGTTCTTAACTATCATAGAACATTTTACATGATACAAATTGGATAGGAAAAATTAAATCTCATTATTGCTTGATGTAATTTTTTTTAAATTTAAACATCTCACGAAGAAAATGAAAATTGACTAATTTAGCGGAAAATTAAAAAATAACAACTCTCATTATTGATTCTGGTATTAATTGTGATTCTGGATTGAACTTTCGTGGCGTCCACATCAACCATTGAGTGATTTGATTTTTCAAGCGACTACTTTGTGGATGAAGGTGTTTGGCTCGCATCCGCCTAGTACAATCAACAAAAGCTTACTGAGCACAACTCGCAAGTGTTATATCTCCTGCAGCCATGGGAGATGAGAAAAATGGCGACTCAAAGAAAAGAAACAGGCAGAAAATTTCCTTTCTGCAAAATCGAAATGATCAAGCATCAACATCCAATAAATTTCAACCTCTTGAAATTGACGATAAAGATATGAATAAGGAAGATGATACTCCAAAGGAAGAAAAAGGACCTCCTATAGTGATCAATGATCCCTCAATCACTTCGGATAAAAGACTCACCATCTACAACAACATAAAAAAAAAACTACCAAGAATATGTCAATTAAAATCTCTCCTGCTACAATCACGATTTATCCAAAAGGAATATAAGATCACAAGGACATATTGATTTATCTCAAAGCTGAAAAAATACCTTTTCATTCATTCACTGCCAATTCTCAGAAACTCAAGAAATTAGTTATTAAAGGACTTCCAAAGATCAGCATAGATGAAATTGTCACGGAACTTAAAGATAGTGGGTTTGAACCGCTACGAGTCAGCATGATAAAAATAAGAAGCGACATATCCACCTTATTTGGTAACATTCGACAACACGATGCGAGGACCTAAACTACAACTGTTAAAAAGACTGAGAACTATTTGTTATACTAGAATCACTTGGGAAGACTACAGAAATCCCAGTGGAGTTACGCAATGTTATAATTGCCAACAATTTTGACACGGTACAAATAACTGTTTCAACTCACCAAAATGTGTTAAATGTGGACAAGGACACTTAACAAAGGATTGTACAAAGACCAAAGACATAGGAGCCAAATGCGCCAACTGTGAAGGAAGTCACACGGCAAACTTTAGGGGATGCCCAAAATATCAGGATCGTATTGAAAAAATTTTTAAACTCCGAGAGGCTACTAGACGTAGTCAAAGGCCTGACCAACATCATAACACACCGCCGAATCTCGGCAAAACGAATTTTCCTGCATTGAAGGCTGTGAAGTCTGCAGCTCAAACGACGACATCATCTTCAACTATACCTCCAGAGGATAGGGCAGCAATCCTTCCTACACCGGAAAACAACGCATGGAAAAAAGAAACCATCTCAACATTACAAACGGATTCGGCTCTACTTTTGGAACTTGCTGAAGTTGGTAAAGTATTAGAAAAAAAATATAGTTTAAGAAATATGTTAAAATTGGACAAAAATTTGTTAGTCGAGCTCGACAAAACTAATGATAAAATTGAACATGCGGTCATATTTAACGAATATATTTTACAATTTAGTAATGGATTATAAACAAAATATTGTAATAGCACATTGGAATGCCAATGGCATTATCGATAAACAGCGTGAGATTTTATGTCCCTAATCAAAAATTAACATCGACATACTTAGACAAAATTTTTAATAATCACAATAAAATCTTAGCAATTGGTGACTTCAACGCAAAGCACAATCTTTGACACTGCAATAAAAGTAATAAAAATGGTCAAACTATATTTAATTACACACTAAATAATCTATTAGAAATAATAGATCCGGACAGCCCCACGCGATATCCTTATGATTGCAATTCCCTACCCAGTTTCATTGACATAGCAATCAACAAAAATATCAATAATGTTATAGATATAGAAACTATAGATGAATTAGACTCGGATCATCTCCCGATCATACTAACAATTAATAATTCACAAATTCAACAAAAAAATAAAACTTTTTTGGACTATAAAAATGCAGACTGGAGTAAATTTAGATCCTTCCTCAATAATAACATAACTGTACATAATAATCTTGAAACTTTTAATGAAATAGACCTTTCCATAAATCACCTAACTCAATTAATCAACAGTGTTGTAGATTGCGCGGTGCCGAAGAGGAAACCAAAGATTGTAGCGGCTCGGCTTCCTCTCCCCAAAGAAATTAAAGATCTAATAAGCGAACGCAATAAAATTCGTAAAGCATATCAACAAACAAATTTAGTTTACTTTTCCAAAATTAAAAATAAATTGTCTAACCTCATTAAAAACAAAATTAAAAAATTTAATAATAAAGATTGGAATAAAAGACTAGAAAACCTTAATGTTAGAGATAACAGTATTTGGAAAACTGCAAAATCTTTTACTAAATCTCATACAGGATCCATAGTCAAACTACATGGACCTACGGGAATAACTTATAATAAAAAAGAAATTGTTGAGGTATTAGCAGACTTTCGAGGGACTGCATCATCTTACGCGTGACTTCGGAGATAAGAATACGAATATAATGTTAAATAATGCTTATCGCGAAGCACAAAACAGTGTTTTCGATCCTTTGTCAATTCATTTATCATCGCCAGTAGAAATAAAGAAAATATTGCATACAGTTGCACCTAAAAAAGCACCTGGGCCAGACAGTATTCAAATTATAGTTTTAAAAAATCTTCCCTAAAAAGTCATTGTACAAATAAATTATATTTTTAACGCTTGTTTTAAACTATTTTACTTTCCAACTGACTGGAAAACAGCTAGTGTGCTTGCGATTCACAAAACTGGTAAAGATAAACTTTTTCCGCAAAATTATCGTCCAATCAGCTTATTAATAACACTAAGTGAACTTTTTGAAAAAATAATATTAAATAGAATTAAAACTTTTGAATCTGAAAATATTAAGCTCATTCCTGAACAGTTCGGCTTTAGAGAAAGTCATAGCACTGTTCAGCAATTAGCTAGAGTCACAAATGAAATATCAACAAATTTTAACCTAAACAGGCACACAGCAGCTGTTTTCTTTGATATTAAAAAGGCATTTGACTCAGTCTGGCACAGGAGCCTTATTTATAAGCTATCTAAAATTGGTTTACCGATGTATATAATTAAATTACTTATAAGCTATTTAAATAATAGAACTTTTAATGTAGTTTACGACGGCACTAAATCGCAGCACAAAAATATTGTGGCGGGAGTACCTCAGGGGTCTATCCTAGGTCCAGTTTTATTCATTTATTATTTGAATGATATTCCTGAAAGTAAAGATACTAGAGTATCCATCTTTGCAGATGATACAGCTATTTTTTCCACTTCTTGAAAAAAAAATATAAAGCAACTGAGTATATACAAAGACATCTGAATATACTTATGAGGTACTACCATAGATGGAAGTTTAAAATCAACGCAAGCAAAACAGAATTTATAATTTTTAGTAGACAAGATAAGGAAAGATAAAATAAAAGTCAAGGTAGATAAGGAAGATATTAAAATGTCGGACAGTATTAAATATCTTGGTCTAACGATGGACCGGAGATGAAACTATAAGGATCATATTTCTAAAGCTTGTACAGGGGCCCAAAAAATCATTGGACTATTGTACAGTCTTAGAAATAGAAAAAGTAAATTTAGTTCCAAAAATAAAGTAGTCTGATTAAACCAGTATTACTTTATGCTATTCCTGTCTGGAGTGGTGCAAATACTCTGAAAATAATATCTTTTGAAAATAAGCTACTTAGAAGAATCGCTAATGTTTGTCCAAACTTAAAAAATATAACAATTAAAAATATTTTACAAATAGTAGATATTCAGGATACAATTTATAAATTCACATATAATTTCTATAATAATCAAATACGGAAGGCCAAAGCTTTAGAGAATTTTATTTTATATACTAAAGAAACAGCACCATTCAAAATTAAACATAAATTACCATACTCACTACAGTCGAATCTCCCATAAGTTAATTCTGGTGGGGGGTTAACTTATGAGAGAATTGCCGCGTAAAGAGAAATAGTTGCGCAGTGACCTATTGCGCATGGCGGTCAATTTCAAAATATATGTTTGAAGTCTTGTGAAGTAAATGAGTTATTAGAAATGTTTGAATATTTAATTTAATATAGGTTTAGTTGATTGTGAAAAGCATTGTCGGTACATACTTGTATTATTCTTTTTACTACTTTTATTAATTTTATAAATCATGGACGGAATTTTATTTATGATAAAATATTATTTGAGTAAATTGGAAATATTATTAAGGAATTAATATTCGTAAATGATGCAGCTACATCAGTGAAACAATTATTTAATAATTAAATTAAATTAAAAAAAACAAAATTCAATTAAATTAAAAGGAAATTCTTTTAAACATGAATCGAATGTTTTTATTCTAGGTAGTGGTTATGTTTATTTATGTGTCAGCCATCTTGGCACCACTATGCGTATGTGTAATGACTAAAGTTTTTTTTAGATAGAGGGGGTACGTGATAGGGGAAAATTAACTTATGGGAAGTTAACTTATGGGAGATTCGACTGTACTAATGTGATCATTATTTTATTATATTTTCTGTGTTTTAGGTTTAAGTATTAGTTTTAAGCGTTATTTGATTGTATTGTTTTATAGTCTAAGTAATGTTAGTTTGTTTGAGATATTTATTATTATAAAATTTCTAAGCGGTTAAAATTATTTTTAAAAAATATAGTAGCGCCATCTAGTGGTGGCAATGAGAATTAAAAAGGCCGGTAAAGAAGAACACAATATTGCTGCGACCATTTCGATGACCATGACTGAGGAGACTTGTCTCCACTAATCTCTCCCAATTTTATTATTAAAATCTCTTGCAGTAAGGGAATCCCCGTCGAAATTTCTAAAGCTTTCTTAAGACAACTAATTTCAGAATCATATTTTTATATTTCCTTATAGATTAAAAGGAAATAGAAGGTGAATAAATGAACATCTCGCACCTATATTCTAACAAGCCCACCATATGCCACCATATTTGTATGCTACCACATATGAAACAAGTTGGAAAATCCAGGATTCTTATACTGCTTACTGAACAGTAGCATAAATATGCTCCTCGCTTTTCTCTTTGTTCTCTTCATTATAAAATGAAAGAATCATTAAATGACTTTTACAGAATCAATGCCAGAAAATAGGATCAATTTACCTTTACTGGTTTCTAAATGGGTGCAAATGATACTATATAAATTCCTACAGAGAATTCTTTACAAAAATTTTTGTTTCGCATACTAATTCCGTGATTTATTTCTTTTTAATTTTACAATAAAATGATAAATTATTTACTAAAATTTTAAAATCCATAGAATAATTTTTTTGTTCGAAATTCTTCGAAATGTGAAACATTATAAAGTCATCTTGTGTAAAAAAAGGTAAACAAAATTGTTAAGAACGAATGGGTCAATAGCTGAATGGTGCAGTGGGACGATGTCGAATATTCATATTGAAATATAAAGTCGTTGAAGAAAAATAACGTTTAACCCCTACAGGAAATGAAAACCTCTAGGTGACTGGTATCTCGAGTCTTTGTGTGTTCTCGTTTGCCAAAGGAAATGCTGTTCGTCGACTTAGAAGTACGTATCCAAATGGTCCATATCGAAGCTCACAAAGCGTATTATGTGTAAGCGCACACGAGACTACATGAAAATGCACCACTCCAGTAAACGTTTTTCAAACGATAGACTGACTTTCTTGTATTGTGCTTTCTCACAATGGACCTTGCTGAGTTTTCAATGACGTAGCCGATCAGAGATGCCACGTACTTATTCCCATTAAGTTGAAGGAAGGACAAAAAGATATCTTCAGAAGAAAAATATTATACAAAATGCATTTCAAAATTTCACCATTCTCTTTAAATTTAAATAAGTAAAATTTCTGCTATTCAGATTATGTCACAACTTCTGTTTTTCTTTCGTTACTATCTCTCAAGCCTGCAATTATATTTATTATATTATATTAGTATACTGCCTAATGACTGGATTTATAATCAACTACCACAAAGTTGTCAAAAAGAATTGCAAATTCAGAACTGTCACCTTGGGCTGTCCGCTCCTTATATGATGAATCCGGTGTCAGCTTTAAAAAATTCAAAATGGCGGATCCATTGTGGCAACAATTTGGTATACAAAAAATTACGATTTAAAATGTTCTTTTTATGTTTTTTACACTCTTGAATGAATTTCAAAAAAAAATTCATTAACTCTCCACAATAAAGGAGTTTTATTCAAAATATGATTTAATTTTTAAAATTTGGCGCTCATATCAAATTAGCTTGTTATACGATTTCAAAAAAAATTTATTTACGATTCAAATCTCAAAGAACACTTTTGAGCACAAAAATCAGAAATGCGAGAATCATTGGGTTTAATCCAGTTCAAAAGACCCATGTTAATTTACAATCATTAGTATTGAAGATAAAATATTTCATTTTATTATTAGAATACTGCCGTGTTAAACAAAAACTTACGTAAGTGACATTGTTGTTTTGGTCGTTATTTCAGTAGTAAAATGAACCAAAATCAGCTTAAGCGACAATGTCACTTACGTAAGTTTTTGTTTAACACGGTAGAATATACCTTTTTTCATTTTTCGTATTGATGCCCGGAACATTGATTACATTTATCTTTAGAGAATATTGCTTAAATTTTTCCCAAACATTGTTAGGCAATATTAGCAATATTGTGGCCAAATGTTGTGTGCTATTTGGATGCTTTAAGCATTGTCAAATGTATATTCAAATTACCATTTTCTTGATAAGTTCCAATATCTTTAAAAGTACATGTTTGATTATATAATTTTTTATGTCACAAGCGCTATATAAAAAGCAGAAGCAGAGTATTAAATTGATCAATAAACAATGTTTAAAAAATGTTTTTCTCACGTATACTCGCACGTTTCGTTATTTCAGCAAAATTCTTTTGACCACTGACCTCTCGACATGTAGCGTAGGGACCATTTCTCATCCGTGCAACCGCGCACGTGCCCGTAGCGCAAAGAGTTATATAGTCAGCAGAAGATCTACGAATACTGAGAAGATCTTCCAATCAGGAAATACTCATGCCTGGACGTCGTACATCACACATAACCTTGCACCTTGAACTTACCGACATGACCAGCGTTCAGTGTTCAGGAAATCGGTAGAGCACACATTCAACCCAAGTATTAAGCTTATATGTATAGTGAGAATCTTAAGGCACATTTTCACAGTATCAATCACTTACTCTGTATTTGTATGTGTGTGTGTGTTCATTGGACTGTGTAAACCATTACTGACCACGAAGCACGCATGGAACGCATATAAGCGTACGAAGGGAATGTAGCTAACATGTATGGCGGTTGGTGTGGGTGGCTAATGTTGGTTACCCTTAGGCCCAGTCAACGAACGGTTACGTTCGTATCACCACAAACCACTGATGACGGTGGACTTTGCACGCGATGCTAGATTATTTTATCGCGCATCTTCAATCGTAGGGTAATTTTCTAAAATCTGTCCCTTTATCGTTTATAAAAAAAATTGTTCTCCATGCTGAAACATCTACTCTGTACGGTTTATTTAATATTCTCTTTAAATTATTGGACAATTATCATAGAAAATTTTCTATAATTCGAAAAAATTATACATCTTTTAAGGGGTCAGTATGTGTTTACTGTACACATTTATTTATTTTTAACTATAATTTATTTCTACTTTTTATACATAAAAATAGATTTTTAGAAGTTATAAAACAATATTTATTTTTTGATTGTTCTAATTTATTTATTTAGATTCAATGTCTTAAAAAGCGTACTTTTGGTAATTCGAAATTGTTTCAATTCCATCTTTTGGTTTGTAACGTGGCTCAATTTTTATAAACAAAAAAATCAATTTTTGTTATATAAACTAAGTCTTTGCTCACAATTGCCGAGGAATGACTTAATTTCTCAGGTATTAATTGAAGTATTTCTTTATTTAGTTTTATTATTAATTTATTTTGAATTTCCTTGTATGTAATGTGCCATGCCAATTTCAAATGGAGAGAAGTTTCCCGATTCCTGTTCAGGTATTCGAGACTGGCCATTGCGCCTGCGCAGTTTCGTCACATCCGTTCGCTCTCTCGTCAAAATTACATTGTTTTTTATAAAAACCTACTATATTTTTTATTCGACCTCTAAAGAAATAATCTCACAAAAGAGCCCCTCGAAATATAATTGATCCCGTAAATCACTAAACTTGTTTAGAATTTCGAGGAATTATTCTTATATAAAGAGGATCCTCCTTACAAAGAGGATAATTTCTCCCAGTGAAAAAAACTAATTCAGATGAATTAAAATGAATTAACTTTTTTAGTTATTTGACAAGGTCCAATTCATATTTGTCACTAAGCAAGATTCAGTGAAGCTCTTTGTATGTTCAATTCAATTCGTACCTATAAGTTTTCACCTGATTTTTACCGGTTGAGAATTCAAACAAAATGACCAACTCGTCTATTGAATTTATATTAACGAATTGAAAAAAATTAAAGCTCAAAAGTTTGTTTATTGAATTAGTACGAATAGAGAGTTTGGAAGTTGAATACAGCTCTTTTTTAATTTGTCGATCACCGGCAATAATCTTGTGCAGTTAAAAGTTGATATTTATGTAAAGTGATAATAAAGTATAATTTCCATGACTAGGAAGTCTTTCCAATTGTATTTGCCCTCCTGACACCACATTAATGTAATTCATGTTACTACATTCTATAAATTTTGATAAAATAATTAGAAAATGTTGAAAATGAAAATCGAACATTATGATGAACGACTTACTTACGATAATTTTAATTCTCCTTTTATTTTATAAATGTGAGTGTCCCTTATTTTTTACTATAATTTGATTGTGATATTTACAATATAATAATAATTATTATTTGACAAAATTATAATTTTTGCTGACCACGTATTAATTGATTTTGACAATTTGACCTGGAAAATTATTAATCAAAGAGCGCTATTTCTTTTCTTTATTTTAAATTTTAAATTTAAATTTTAAATTTTTTTGTAAATTTTTCTTTAGTATTGCGTTATTTTATGTCACTGCAATTTCAGTATAGAATATATTTGAAATGGCTTTTAGGATAAACTCAAAATCGTTAAATATCACGAAGCTAAAGTACGCAACGTTTATGATAAACGATTTTTAAAGAAATAATTTAAAAAAATAAAAAATTCTATAATTTTTTTCCAAAAAAATATTTCTTGTAGTTTTTGTTATAATCAACAAATTATAAAAAAATAATTTTTTACGTAAACAATTTTGTAATTTTCCGTGTTAAATAAAAATGGATTTCTAATCGTTGGCCATAAACGTTGCGTACTTCAGCATAGTAAATATCACAATACTTTTAAATTTTGTTTGTGGTATTTTTTAATGATCTCTTTTTAATAAATTGCCAATTATTTTATATTGAGTTAAAATTGTGATTATTTTCTTGAACAAAACTTTCTCAGTCTAAGCTAGCGGCAACTTTCCCGAAAATAATTGTGGTTTTCTTTCTAATAATTGATTTTTGTGTATTTTTGCTAATTTGTTTATTTTGTCTTTATTCTATATTTGTACCTTTTTAATAGAATTAAGTTCTATTAATGTTATGGAATATTATTTTGTCTCATTTTTGAGAATTATCCCAAAAAGAACTGCCGTCTAACATATTGTTCATTTTAGTGATTTTCTTTATTTTTATAAGATTGGAAAACCATATATTAATTTTTGGATATTTAATTACAAGGACTAAAGACTTTGGCTTTTATATTGTTTATTATTGTTTTTATTTAGGCTTTCGTTTGTTTATTGCTATCCTTGTCTTTAACAATTTTCTTGTTATTTACTAATTTGTTTTCTTATTATTAAAATGTTTTATTCATAAATTCAAGTTATGTTTTTGTGATTTCATTATAATTTTATTTAATTAAAAAGTCCGTTGCAGTTTATTCGAACTTTTAATAATTTAATTTTTTGTTAGTTAGAATTTCTTAAAATTCTATTTTTTGTAATTTAAATTTTTAGAAATTTGATTTTGTAATCCTTAATTGGCACAACTCTGCGTTTGAACGTGAATGGCACAATGGGTCTGCTGGACCCGACGTATTCAAACGTACGGTCGGTATTGAATATTTTTGCACCAAAATTTAATCTGAGATAGCTTATGATGTGTTTTCTAAAATATAATTAGTTTTACAGGGATTAATTTATTTTAAGTTATAGTATAAAAAAATTTTGAAAAATAAAAACGAAAAATTGCGTATTTTTACTTAAAAATTCATGAGTTATTTAAATTTTAATATTATGACTTAAAAGTTTAAGATTATACTCTTGATGTATTATTCTTTAAGGAAAAAATTACTACAACAGCACGACTTGCAATAAGGTATTTATTTTGCCGAATGAAATGTGACTTCCTCGATTAAAATTAAGAATTTATAATTACACAGGCCTGCATGGTTTTTTTATTTTTGATATTAAAGTCGTTCCCTATGTAATTTTGTGCGCTGAACACGATCCCGTGTCCCAAAATGGCCCAGCACGTCAGAATTTTGAGAAAAGTTGGGGTAAAGAGCCCAAAAACCGTGTTTTTGGGTGTTTTCAAGAATTTTTTTCTCCTTAACCTGACGTGCTAGAAACTTCTACTACTGTCGGGCCAAAAGTAATAGGCTCCTCTCTTTGAAAGCTTATAATTCAGATAGAAAAAATCGCATACAATGCGACAACATGAAATCAATAGGTACACAATGCCTACGTTACTATACGAAATTGCGAAAATCTGAAAAATTTTTTGCGTAAGTTATCGATTTTAGAAGACAAAAAATACATGGTTTTTTGCATCATTTTTACAACTGTCTACTTTAAAAGCCCATAGTATAGAAAATAAAAATCTTATCTACATGTGAAATTTTTTCTATAATATTTGAACCCTTCTGAAATAGAATATTAAAAAAAATTTCGATTATTTCTTTAACTTTTCGAGATTATTTAAAACAAAGTTAAAAAGTCATCTCGTTAACAAATAAACGCACATATTTGAAACAAATCGCAAATTATACAAAAATTGATTTTATTAACAGAACAATAAACAAAAATAGTTTAAAAAATTTTGTTTAAGATTTATTTACGAAAATGTTTTCGATTTTTTGCTTTATAACCTCATTAAAGCAAGGTGCAGGCCATCGTAAATTTTCTCCTCAAAGGCGTCGAATTTTAAAAACTTGAACAACCCATTTTTCTGCTCCTGTACATATTCTCTACAAATATTTTGAGTGAATCAAAAATCTTTTTCGTTCTGAGCCCTTTTTTCCGATACCTTTGGTAAATTTCTCGACAGAAGTCTTTAAAGATGTAAATAAATAGTATGAATAGAAAACTTGTGAAAAAAAGGGACGGTAGTAAACCAATGTTATTCAATTCCTTGCCGTTGACAAAAGGGTTCATCACGGTCAGCACCTTGCTTTAATGAGGTAATAAAGCAAAAAACCGAAAACATTTTTGTAAATAAATCTTTAACAAAATTTTTTAAACAATTTTTGTTTATTGTTCTGTTAATAAAATCAATTTTTGTATAATTTGCGATTTGTTTTAAATATCTGCGTTTATTTGTTAACGAGATGACTTTTTAACTTTGTTTTAAATAATCTCGAAAAGTTAAAAAAATAATCGAAATTTTTTTTAATATTCTATTTCAGAAGGGTTCAAATATTATAGAAAAAATTTCACATGTAGATAAGATTTTTATTTTCTATACTATGAGCTTTTAAAGTAGACAGTTGTAAAAATGATGCAAAAAACCATGTATTTTTTGTCTTCTAACATCGATAACTTACGCAAAAAATTTTTCAGATTTTCGCAATTTCGTATAGTAACGTAGGCATTATGTACCTATTGATTTCATGTTGTCGCAATGTAAGGCGATTTTTTCTACCTGAGTTATAAGCTTTCAAATAGAGGAGCCTATTACTTTTGGCCCGATAGGTCTTAAATTAAAGCTTAAAGCGTGCACTTTAAGACCCATATGCGCAAGTCAAAAAAAACTTAAGGGATTTTGAGAAAAGTGGGGGGGTTGAAGTCTCTATCACGTTAGGTTAAGGAGAGGAATATTAAAAAAACCCTAAAAACGCGTTTTTTTATTTTTTACCCCCACTTTTCTCAAAATCCTGTCGTTTTAGGCCATTTTGAAACCCGGGATCGTGTTCAGCGCACAAAAATACATAAAAAACCACTGCGATATAAAGTATGTAAAAAA